TACAAAAGTGGGTGCATTTTCCTTATGATTACCTAATTTCACATCGATAAAATAATTCATATATATTATTGTTAGTCTCTTTTCCAATTAACATCGGGGCATAAGGCCTTATTAGAAAACATGTAATTTTAAATACTCCTCAGCAAGAGAAATCTTTTCTTAAAAAATTATCTGCTGACTTGAAAAATCAAATGCAAAGCAAGTTGGTTTGTTTTTTGGGGTTTTTTCTGTTTTGCTTGTTTGTTTTTAGTAGATCCACTTAGTTCAATTGGTCTTCCTCAAGTAAATACACAAAAGAAAACCTTATTTTAACCCAGTCATGGCAAAACAAATTCATATAGTATATTCTTTAACATTGCCAAATGTTTTCAAGGTCTTAGAGCCTTTTTTTGGTAATTATTCATCACAAATATTCTTTTGAGCAGAATAGCTTCATTTTACCAAGGCTTCCTCCCCTTTTGTTACTATTCAAACACAGGTAGGAACAAAGTCAGGGAGCCCTGTTCTCTTCATCCCAACCTTAGATGAAGAAGAGTGAGCCCCTTGCACTTTGAACTCGCGATAACATTTTCAAAGTTCTGCAGGCAATTAAAAGAAGAGTGGATCTCAAAGTCCATGCCCTGGCTAATTTTTCCACAGAGAGCTATAACCAGCAATCCCCAGCAAATAAAATGGGAGTCTTTAACTGGCCAAATTCTGTTGGAATAGCTGTTTGCTGTGGCTTGTTATGCATTGAGAATACAGAAGCCCAACTCTACTAATCTTTCACCTCATCACGACCTTTGTTACTCTTAGAGACTTGAGTTTTACAGCTCCAAGTTTAGTTTATCTGAGACACAAAGGCCCAATATAAAACATATGAGTAATATTTTTAAGCACCACAAGATAGAATAGTCCATTAACTGATGAATTACTTGCAGCACAGAAATGGGGTATACTGGTGTAATATGAATCCAAGATCTAGCCTCCACTTTCTCACTCGCAAGATGAGAATGGTAAGCATGACTGGTGTTGGAACTGTTTACATGACTATTAATGGGAGAGTACATGTAAAACAATATGTGCGAATTTATTAAATTTATAAATATAATAAACCTATGGATTCCTAGGAAAGATCAACTTTTAGACCCAAGTTATTCTTGAGCAACGACATTAATACTGACTCTAAGAGACAGTAACAGTCCTAAGATTTTTCCAAAAAGACAAGCAGCATTATCATAGTATTGAACAGAGGTCTCCTTCACTCCAAGAAACAGAATTAACCAGCTAATTTATAATAATTTGGTATTCTTTCAGTATTCTATTATAATTTAGGTTTCTATCTATCATAGCCCTGGAGGAATTCAATTAATTTTCACACACTTCTCTTAGATTAGAAGTGCACTCTTATTAGTGTTGCATTAGCGGATGCAAATCATTGTCCAGATACGGCAGGGGACTGAAAATTAAATAAATAAACGTGCGTGACTTGGAGAAGATCACCCCAAAAGGATGCAAGCACTTTGCAGAGCCAGCCTCCCGGCGGAAACCTCACAATCAGTAGCTACTGAGGAAGCATTTCACGGCTCCCATTCGGAAAGCCAGTCTGTGAAGCTCCCTTCCCGCTGCCCCTCAGCAGGCCAGGGTTGGTTGAAAACTTTTTCAGAATATGGTGCGTTGAAAACTAAGGCCTCGTCGACTTAAAACGACGCTGCTTTGTAATGTTCGCTTCCAATCTGGAGTTCCTATTTTTAGAAGGGCAAGCCACCGCCCTTCCGAAAATCTTTTTTCATTCATCTTTCCACACAGCCTGTTATGTTGGGTTGCATGAATGTAGGCCACATTAGATCTGCGGGCTTCTAGAGAACAAAGCCCTCTCTCACTTCTCCACATTGCAAAGGACATGGAGAGAGAACTTACATGGAATGTCATTTTGCCCAAGTGGGTTAAGGGATTTGCCGGAGGATGCGTTCATTTCAGGTGCAACCTCCTTAGAGAAACGGGTACAAACAGAAGAGGCGCCTCAGCATTCTTTCAGGATGCAAACATTAGCCTAATAATTACCTCTACCAACTGCTGAAATGTTGTTTTTCATTCTCTTCTTTTCAAAATGTCAAGTCCCAGATTCAGAAAGCATTTGGTGATACAGTATTGATCCCACGTGCCTCAGAGTTTTCAGGCAGAAGTTTTGTATTTTTATTTCTGGGAAGTGCAATCATTATGCAGTAGCAACCCATTCACCCAAAAAATTAATAGTAACTTATTATTCCAACTTGAGCAGTCGGTCTGAAAACGGTTCCCTGCCTCATCACTCAGTGTTGGACCGGCGTGGTTCCCTGGCTTTAGATCTGAGTCCCGTGCCCATCACCCGCTGTCCTCAGCACCGTCGTTCAAACACAGCTGTGACCCTTGATGAAGATGACATGGCCGCGTCCAGTTGATGTGTTTTCTGAGTCATTAACCCGGATTTCTCCATTTTGAATTTTGGAAAACAGTTTTGTGTAATGTTCGCAGCTGAGTGAGGGCCATAGCTGAACACCTTTTTATGAGTTTTTAAACGTTACTAACTGCTAAATTAACATTTCAAAAGTGGGCTTTTCCTGTGTTATAGATTTATTGTTGCCTCAAAAACAAATATTGTGGACATGTAGATGTGTTGCTTCCCAGTAGCTGTAACCTGCGGGCTTTATTTAAACTGTCCTTTGAATCTACAATAATTTCGTGTCAGGGAGGAATAGGATCTTTATCAACAAAGGGCGGCCAGAATCCCAACTGTTTCTTGAGTGGCTGTAATAGATGAATAATGTTACAACCAACTGAGCAAAAGCCTTTTTGCTCAAAAGGCTTTTCACTGATGCCGGTGGTATTCTACACCCATGTGTTCCTCTCGAAGCTCAGTAGTTTCCATCTGACTTTCATTACTTTTCTTGAGAGGATCAGTTTTACAACTGGAGTCAGAAAATCACTCAAAGTAATTGAAAGTGGCAATCAGTGAAATATAATAATTTTAGCTTGGGAACAGCATATGTTTCATTATAAAGAAAATATTTTTTCCACAAACCCAAGACCCGTGTTTTCCCAGAGCAAAAAAGGAACCATGTGCACGTTCTAACACTGCCTCCCATGTCACGGTGATATCACTGGAAAGTGCTCGTCTCCCTCCAGGAGTGGCAACTTGTTACCTCCCGAGGAAATCTATTCCCTTTTTGATTATATTAAAATTTAAAATTCTAATTTAAAATTCTTTATTATATTGGAGATAAACTCCACATCTCTGCAGTTATATCCTTCAGAGTTGAAAAACGTGGGTTTCAACAGAGTAAACCTGAACCTCTCTTCAGATACACATGGGCAGATCTTACCCCCAACCCTTGCCCTTTCCTTTGCCAAGTTGTACTGTATATTCCTTTCTTATATGGAATAGATTTCATCTTCTTAATCACTCTGGCCACTCTCCCTGGAAGAAGTGCAGACTTGCCCATATTTCTCTTAAAGGCATTATTCTGAGGAAAAATTAGACTTTCAGTCAGAATATCTGCATTAAATTATAGCTCTGCTACTTATTAAATGTTGTAACTGGAGAAAATTATTTACTCTTTTTGTCATTAGGAATAGCATAGTTGAATAAAAGAGACATGATCTGGAGGTCAAAATGGGCAATAAACAAGCCAACAAACAAATATGTAATTACAGTTTGTAATATATAATGTATTACAATTGCCAAGGGAGTCCTGTGGTCCCAAGGTGCAAAGGGCAGGCCTTCTGAAATGAAGGCGAACATTTTACAATGGGAAGGAGACAAGGTGTGTTCCAGGGTGTGGGACGGCACTACAGTAAGAGAGCATTGTTTTCTCAAATGAAGCAGAGTCTAAAGCAGGGGTGGGCAAACTTTTTGACTCGAGGGCCACAATGGGTTCTTAAACTGGACCGGAGGGCCGGAACAAAAGCATGGATGGAGTGTTTGTGTGAACTAATATAAATTCAAAGTAAACATCATTACATAAAACGGAACGGTCTTTTTTTCAAGAGTATTATTCATTTCAAACGGGCCAGATCCGGCCCGTGGGCCGTAGTTTGCCCACGGCTGGTCTAGAGTTTAGAAGCTTAGAAGGTGAAGGGAATGAGATTAGTCTGGAGAAGGGCAGAGCCTGGTAGCCATTGTTGAGCATGTGAATTTTATGTGAAGTGTACAGGGAAGCCATGGTTGGGTTTGCAGAAGCGATGTTACAGTGTCTGAATGATGCCTTTAAAAATTGCCCTCATGCTAGATGGAGAACAGACTGCAAAGGATAAAAGTAGAAGTGGGACAACCAATTAGGAGGCAACTGTCATAATCCAAAGAGAGGTTCATGTGATACAACAACCCCATGAGGTTTAAACGAGAAGCAATACTCTTCAGAGGTTAGGACAAAGTCATAGCAGACTGCCTGTCTATAATTAAACCCGACTCCACCAACTCCAGCAAGTTTTCAAACGCTGTGCATCTCAGTTTAATCTTCTGTGAAAGGAAGATCATCACAGGGCTCACTTTATAGAGTTGTTGTGAGGATTAAATGAGTTTCCTATTTGTGAAATCTGCAGTGAATTTTTCACCATTATGACATGCTGTATCACATTTTTCAGTCCCAGGCATTATTTTATGTAGTTTTTGTCTGGGAAAGAGGAAGAGAATGAGTGAGGAATGTGACCAGATAATTGTTTATTCTCCTTAACAATTTCTATTCTACTAATGGAATGGAAAAAGACAACGTGAGAGAAGGCATTCTGTGGACACTCGGTTGTGTTGTTCTTTCTTTGGTAGTCCCCCTTGTCATTTTATAAAGACCTAACAACTCAAACATTGCATTTATTTAACTCTATTAGACCTGTTTTGAATCTTGCTTAGAACCCAAATTCTAATACATCACTGTGAGCCCTCTAGAGCAGTGTGGAACAGCAATGGACAATGCCATTAGGCTGCCTCCCAGGTTATTTCCTCTTGTGATACGCTCACTTAGTTGAATAACATTCCTCCTTAACAGGCATCCCAGGAAGTGACTATGTGAACGCCAACTACATAGATGGTTACAGGAAGCAAAACGCCTACATTGCAACACAGGGATCTCTCCCTGAAACATTCGGGGACTTTTGGAGAATGATATGGGAGCAACGGAGTGCCACAGTTGTCATGATGACAAAACTAGAAGAACGATCCAGGGTAAGAATAAATATCTGTCTCTTCCCTCTGAGAAATCTTCCCTTAGATACTCCCAATGTTGCATATTTTATTCTGTTCAGAATCCAACCTTAAGCTCTGACCTTCTGACTGACATTATTGTGAATGGGCATCAACTCTGATCCAACCATTCCTCAACACTTCTGAGCCTTTCAAAAGTGAAATTCTTTCATGTTACAATGTGTGCGATCCCTAAAACAAACAAAAAATTATTACTCAAAGAAGTAGATTACTTGGTTAGGCAAAATAGTTATTAGCTTGCACTAACTCTTTCAAAAACATTCATCGAACACACAGACTTTGGGGGAGAATTTCACCAAAATCTACTTCCCAGTATTTTTAACTTTTCGTTTCCCACAATCTGAAGCATAAGATCTAAAATCATGTGACACAGGCTCTTATTTAAATTATTCGAATTGTGTAAATTAACTCAGGGAAGCCAGAAAAATAAACATGTAGAGGGTATGTTGCTAGTTTAGCCTTCTCCAAAATGAGAAGATTTTAATAATATAGTCATTGCTTATAAGGTCCAAGGAAGGAGTTGCAGCCATCATATGGATCTAATATTATGGTACACAGCACGTTAGTTAAATGCTGCTGATTTGCGAAACCAAAACATAATGGGTAAGCCATATTCCCAGGAAAATAAGCAGATACTGTAGCCAACTGATGAAAGTCAATATTATTTTTTTTTGAAAGTCAATCTTTAAATCTTAAGAATTTAATGAAGAAGTCCCTGAAAAATCGCTGAAGAGGACAGTACCTCTTGCTGAAGAGCGGGACATGCGGGGGAGAGTTTGAAACCACCACTGAGTGGTCTCTCAGAGTGGTCACGGCAGCCCCCGGTGGATATGCAGCAGGAAGCCAAGCCCCACCCCCCCATTTGCTGTGTGATAGCTGAGACTTTCCAGATGGTCCAAGCACAGTTCAGGGCAGCTTCTCTCAGCCTAGGTCTGTATGTGACGGAAGAGGTGAAAGCTGCCACTAGGATTTCTAAGGAAAAAGCTCAGACTTAGGAAAATACAAAAAGTCCCAGCTGTTACCTTACAGATAAGGAGTGGAGCAGTAAAAAGAGATGTTTCACAACTGGTTTTGCAAAACTAAAAAAACAAAAATCAGATCTTTTTAAAATGTGGATTCTATAGACATATTGAAATATTGTCTGAAATGAATTTAGATAAAAAATTGTTATGACTCTGAAGACAAGTATCTTTACATGCTAATGCCAAAAGATATAAATGGACCTATTATTTATTTGTACTTAGGGTACCCCTTATACCACAAGCCCTTTCTTTAACAACAACCCCCTACCCCAGTGGTCGGCAAACTGCGACTCGTGAGCCACATGCGGCTCTTTGGCCCCTTGAGTTTGGCCAGGAAGTTTCAATCGCACTATACTCGCGCGCCCACACATGGTATTTTGTGGAAGAGCCACACTCAAGGGGCCGCACTTTGCCAACCACTGCCCTACCCAAATGATTCTTGAATAAACCTGTTAATAATTATAACAGTGTCAAACACATATTAGGTATATTGCTATTTCTCAACCACCCTCTGAGATATATACTACCACGATCTCCACTTTATATATGAGTAAACTCTAGCTAGAACATTCCAGAAGGTCACCCAAGGTCATTTAGCTACCAGGGCAGTATTAGGAATTGAAGAGACAGTCTGAATCCAGAACACACGTGCTTTACCATTGGTCCATGCTGCCTGGTAACACTTTGTGAAGCTGAGACAGCTAAACGCTTCTACTTTGGCATGCATGTAAATCCAACCTACCCGGACCACTCTGCCGGGAGAGACCGGCTGGTAACAAGCAGTCATTTGCAAAAGCTGTTTTCAGTAAAACACACATTTTATCTTGACACTGCAGGCCTTCATTAAACTATGCACAGAAACTTGTTTTGAAATAACCAAAGGAAATTCTTCCCCTTTTCTCCCTAATTGCTTCTAATAATAAAGTTAGTTCTCACTGGCCCCTCTGCCACCGCAGCATCTGATGGTAATGAGCAGTTCTTGACGGAAGGCATTGTGACTTCAATACCTGCGGTTTATCTTTATGTTGCAGGCTACTCCCCCCACCCCCTACCTTAGACAGAGGAACTTATTTGGAAGTCACTAAAGGAACCTCTGTTTCCTCCCGTCATTAATTACTCTTTGCTCTTGCAAGTTAGCTTTCTCTTTGTTAAATGGCCTAAAGGAGGCCAATTAAAATGCTGTCTGGTGATTTTTATTCTGTGGTGATTCAGCCTGTACCCAAACTTGTGATGACCTGCATAAGCCAATACTGAGGAGTTCCAACCATTATCAATCTGCTCATAGCAATGAGCCCTGATCCCTAAAGCCCCAAAGACCTTTGTTCTCTAGCCTGAAATACTTGAGAATAAATGACCAAATGCAACAGAGAGATCTGGTGCCCCAAATTATGTCACCTGTTCTTCCATCTTTCTCCTTCACATCCGTCCATCTCACCTTTTCCCTATGAAGTGTCTTCTTCACCTAAAGACTTAGGGAGAAAGGGCTAGGCAGTCCTGGATTCTCAAACAAGACCTTGGATTGAGTTTCACTGTAAAAACAATGTTGCATAGTGGTTGGTTGTTGCTGAAATATATAGCTCCATACTTGAGGAACTTTGTGGCTTATGTGGCTGGCCTGAAGTCTCAATGAATTCTCAGTTCCCAGCAGCCAGCCTCAAAGCAGACGTTTAAACTACTTTGGCTTTAGTTAGGAATTGCCTGTAGTCTCCCTCATAAATGGAGGTGGTCCAGGTAGTTTAAAAGAATCGCCTCTCCAAGGGCTGAAACCTTAAAGTTTCTTATTTTGATTAAGGCTCAGGTTCTTGAAATAATATTCATCTCCTTGGTACATGGGGAAAAGTGTGTGTGTGTCTAAACACTTATGTGTATTACAAGTATGTAGGAATACGTGTTGACTGGAGATTTGGGGTGGAGAAGAGAGAAGAAAAGGAAAGGGAAGAGAGGATAACAATGTTACACAAGACTCTGGGACATCACCGTCAGAGAAAGAGGAAGCCACAAGACAGTTCCAAGTAGGGCTGTCTCACAGTTAAATGTCTGGGTTTAGATTAAGATTCTAGTGCTTATTCGCTATGTAATAATGAGCCATTTACTAGAGTTCTCAAAGTCTCACTTCTCCTTTTTGACTTGCATGGAAGGATTTCTGTGGGTATTGACTGAGATAAAGAATGTGACAAGATGGCTCAATGACTCTCAACTATTATTATTTGGTTTGAGAGAGAGAGAGAAGTTGGAGGCTTTACCATTACAACTTTACTTCCTCCTAAAGCTGTCTTCCAAATAATTAAATTTTTTGTTTCCAAATGAAATGAGTTTGACTTTCTGTGATTGACAGTGAATCCTGACCAAGTTCATAGAGTCACTGCACATGGCGGATCCTGCCAACTGTTCCTAGTGTAACACACCCTTGTATTATGGTCCAGAGGAGAGTGTAGCTGAGAACATGAGCATTTTGTGTGGGGGTTTTTGCACTTGCCTTTCCCCACGACAGACGCTCCAGAATGGATGCAGAAACTTATTCATCAGTCTGCAAACAGACCATGGCTACTGTGGCTGCTACTTCCATTGCAGCCATATCTTGAAGGAATCCTACATAATAAAAGGCTAATACACAAATCAGCCGAATGGTGGAACAACCTTGGGGTGTGGGCCTAAGCTGTCAGTCAGATATCCCCTGGGGGCTCCCGGACTGCGAGAGGGCAGAGGCCAAGCTGAGCCCCCCACCCCCACACACACACACACACACACCACCAGTGCACAAATGTCGTGCACTGCACAGTATAATATAAAAATAGTGAGTGATATTGATATGAGTTACATGTGGTAATAATTGTCAGTAAAGTCCATGTATTTTAGATACCACGTTTCTTAACCATTCTTTTGTTTAAAATATATTTTTATTGATTTTTTACAGAGAGGAAGGGAGAGGGATAGACAGAATCATCGATGAGAGAGAAACATCAATCAGCTGCCTCCTGCACACTCCCCACTGGGTATGTGCCCGCAACCAAGGTACATGCCCTTGACCGGAATCGAACCTGGGACCCTTGAGTCCGCAGGCCAGCGCTCTATCCACTGAGCCAAATCGGTTAGGGCATCTTCCCCATTCTTACTTTCTTGATGATGCTTGGGAATTCTCTACTTAAGACCTATTACCTGTTTTTTCCAGCTTTCTGTTTTGCCCAGGCTTGGCTCACTCTTACCTTGTCATTCTAGCCTACTGTTGATAAAGCAGCTTATAACCCTTGCTGAGCTACAACAGCTGATTCACACAAAGGGCCACTGGAGTCATTGGCAGGTGTTAGAAGTTTAATTGGCCTTTTGTGAGCGAACTGAGCACTCTTTGGTTTGAATGGTCTTAGTCCTGTGAGGTATGACTTAGGACTTCAGTTGACCACTTGAAAACTTAAGTTCTTTGATTTTCAAATAATATTATTCCCCCTATTCAGTTAAGATCTCAAACCTACCTGAAAAGACTATTTGTATGATAAATACACTGTTTTCAACCCCAAAGAGGAAATGTGTATTATAGATTGTTTTCTATGAGTGTCATTCAGATAGATAAAGAAAATAAATGAAAAGCTAAAATCTGAAGATTTTTAAGTTAAAATATGATTGCTGCCTGAACTACAGGTCAACCTAAAGCCTTGTAAAATGTACTATGACATGAGATACGGTTAGTGGGTTTTATTCCACAGTTTCCATCTTTTTTGCCAAATGCTCTCAAGTTCTGCGTAGTTCATTGATTCTGTAGAAGATCATTCTGGTGCCCTAGAATGTGGTCTCTAATTGTTTCCATGTTTCATAACATGCCAGTAAGCACATGAATTGGTTTGGGCAACCACATGTAGGGGAAAAAAGTTCGGAAAAAATGAAACATGGTAAGGGAGTAAAATATATACAGCTGGGAGTTCCTCTCCAAGATTGTTATTTGTGGGC